CTAAGCTGCAACACTCCCTTGCCTATTTCATTCTGGGATAAATTACTCTGGTTTATGCTTGCTTGTCATGGGTAGGGAGTGGACAGATGAAACAGTTACAATGGATCATCTGGCACATGATCCCAGTATTTGTTGTATATGTATCTACAGCATGTCTGAGGCACATAAAGTTAGTGGGACTCTTGAAAATGTTTTATTCAGTCTGGTCCAAATACAGGAAACCCTTGGTATTCACGGGTTCAGCATTCGCAGTTTCAATTATTTGTGAATGCTGAACCTGCGTTTTAAAGACACTTTAAACATTTACTGGAGCTCCTTGGGAGCTCCGTGCTTGCTGCCGCTGGGCTCCCTCCATCACTGCTGGAGCCATGCCCCCCAGCCACTGGGGGCACTGCATTCATGAATGCAGTGCCCTATTCTTAGATTTTGCCATTTGTGGGGATCACGGGAATGTATCCCCCATGAATGGCAAGGGTCTCCTGTACTGGTCCAATAAAAATTAATTAGCAAACTTCTATTAACTTCAGTCATTCTGAAAAACATGGTACAAAAGCATAAATAAACTGGGGCACAACTTAATGATCAGAAAGGGCTCTCTTAAATGAATTGGTTCCTGTGAAATTTTTTAATTCCTGTGAAAGGTACTAAAGATTTTATGTGAAGTTTCTGTGCTTCAGCATGTATCTTGACTCTGAGCTATTTCTATCACCACACATCTAACTCCTTGCTGAAAGCAGTTCACTCTTCTCAGTCCATAATTTAACTATATTCTTTTTCCCTCTGTGTCACACTCTGTATTTGCATAATGAAATTTTAAAGCATGTCTAGAGGTGAAAAAGCCTAAATTACCCAGATTATGTAGAAGGAGACATTTACATATAGAAGACTAGAACAGGGAAAGAATGGCTTTCTCATGGTTGTTAAATGATTGTACGCTTGCAATGTCATCCAATATGACATTTCATCATGGACTACTGATAGAAAACATCTGTATGCATGGGCCATTATGAACATGGAAATAAGAACATAGGGGAAGAAGCAAACAAGGATAAGACTGTCTTATATAGCTGCCATAGTGAAAAAAATGTGTGTGCACATTCATATACCAATAGTAGATTCAGTGTTCTGCTTCATGGTAAACAATATTTACAATAGTTTTCAGTATCATCTCATTAAGTATAGTGATTTAAGTTAAATCTGTAAGTTCTTTTATTCTTTTCCATTTCTTGCAAAAACATTTGAGAGGGTAAAGGGAATGGGCTAGCATTTAATTTTAACTATGTTCAGTCCCATGCTGATGTGAACGCTTCCCATTAAAGTGTTATTTTATCAACTGCCATTAAAAAAAAGAAACAACATCATAAATAAAAAGAAATGTAAAAACAAAGTAGTCTTGTAGCTGGAGATTGCACTTAGAGAACCAATGTAGCCTATGGAGATTAAAAAATGTCATTATTTTCTACATAGTTTCTTCAGGTTATATGTAGAGAAGCACCTTATGGAAATAGGTAGGCCTAATATGCTACACTATAGACATGTCTACATGTGCTGATTTAAGGAGCATTAGGCATTTTTAAGGTGCATTAAGGGCATGGATCTACACATGCATGCCCTTAATGCACTTTCAAAATGGCAATTTTAGGCTGTTCATGCCTAAATTTGATACCGGAAAAAGCAGGTATCAAATTTAGGCATAAATAGCTAAAGTGCCTTAGTGCATGTGTAAACGGGCTAAGTGGCATTAACACTGTGTATGTCAACTAACTTGGGACACACTTTATTCCCAAGTTGGTCCACACACCACATTAACTCGCTTTAATTTGTGCATGTGTAGACATGTGCCTAAATTGCCTTAATGAGCATTAGGCAAATGTGCATTAAGTTTAGGTGCACATAAAAGCCTGTGTAGACATGTCCTATGTTGTTCAGAAAAGCATTTTGATAGGCCCAAATGGAGCATTCAGATGGAGTTTTGGGAATCTCTGAAAATTTCAGCCTGCATATTATCTTTGGTAGTGTTTCCAGAAGCTCCATCTCTATTCAAAGTGCAGTCTGCTCCACTTTATGCAGCTTAAAAACAGACTCCTGGAAACCTCTTAGTTTGGCTCTTAGTTGGACAAAATTTGGGTGTCACTGGCCTTGTTTTCTTGGTAGAAAACTATTTTGATAGACTGCTAGTTGGAATTAAGACATAACACAAAAAAGGAAAGTGATAGTAAATGCTGGAACAGTTGGGCACCCTTTGTGCCCACCTTGCATTTCACAAACTAGAGGAGACAATGAGAAACAGAAAGAAATAAAACGTTTAGTTCTTGGAATTCTCTGCATCAAGGGGCTTTTACATTCTTTCCTGTCATCCAGCATGAGGTCTTCTCTCAAAGGTAGTCAAGAATACTATCAAGCTCTTCTTTAGCACAAGAAATTAAGACAGCTATCCCCATCTGATTCCATCACTGTATCTGGCCTCTTTGTCATCTTTGAAGTATCCAGTCCAAAACTGGCCTCTTGTTTCTTTCAGCATTTTCTGCATGACTGCTCTATAAATCTTACTTCTATTCCCTCTTCTACATTCTCATTCTGTTTCCCATCACTTGGGGAAGTCTTCTCATATTTATAGCTCTTAGGTGTGCGTGTACAAACGGAAAGATTAGGGTAGATTAAGGGGATAAGTGAAAGTATGACACTTTATAGTACATAGGAATAAGGTGGCACCCTGTCAGTAGCTTGTGAGTCTCTAGTGGCTCTAACTATGTTACATCTTCCAGAAGTCACCCACAACTGATCAGAGGAAGAATCTGTATGTAACTAGGCATGATGAGTTTGCATGTATTTAGTAAACAAGGTTGTGCAAAGCCCAGCTGTGAGCTTTCATATACAGCAAAGGATACAATACAGTACAAAAATTCTCCTTCATTTTTCTAGTATTGCACAAAAATAATTTAAAGACATTTTAAAGTGAGTGGAGGTAACTGGATAACTTGATGAATGTATTTGGGGCTAATTTATTTGAGAGTCTGTGCTATTTTTGGCTTCAAGCATTTGATACATCTTTTGCAGTATTTCATCTTGTATTTGCATTTTTGTGGGAACAAATCTAAAGGTTGAGTGGTGCTTCTGGGAACACAGTTCTTTTCTGTGTACTTTGCCATCTAGCTGACGTGATAGGGGAGATACAGTATTAATCAGATTAGATTTGATAATTTAGTTTAAATGATGAAAAGAAACCATCATACCTGCAAAATACAACAGATTGAAATTTAATTCTGTCTCCTCCCATTAATTTTACTTGTAATACAATATTTCAGTTCAGGAGGCTCGTAAATTTGAGGCAGTTGTATTATCATGTCTATATACCAGGCTAATTTTTAATCCATAAAGATTTCCTAATTTCTGCATCTGGAAAGAAATGTCAATATTTTTTTTCTTACACAGGGGTTAATTATATACTGGGCAGAGTCTCTCTGGTTCAAGGCAGGCAGAGGAAATGCAGAACGATCTGTTCCAAGGCTGTGATAAATATAGTTTCTATTTGTAGTTTAGCCATTAAAGCAGAAACAAAACCTAAGATTCCACTAGAAACTATGATATGGTAAAACATAATTGACATAAAATGTGTATTTCTCCATCTAAGCAGTGTGCATTCTTTACCATTCAGAAACTGGGAAGGAGTAGGAATAGAAGGTAGAAAGAGCTCTTCACAGGAGAAAGAGCTCAACTTTTTTTGCTTCACTGATTGAAATGGGAATTGAGGGTACTTACCACCTTAACAGAATTGGTACTTACCACCATACACCTTGGTAAAGTTGCTCATGATAAATATATGTTATGAATATCTATTAAATGTTACAGTAGGTTGCTAACACCCAGCTGTATCACTCATTTATTAAAAGAAACTCTTTAGTCATAGGCTGAACAGGGGGCACGAGAGCAATTCAGCTGCAGTCTTAGATTGATGACACTTCTAAAAATTGTTCAAGCATGTGTCCAAGAATCTGTCAAAATAAGGTTTAATAGATGAGAAAGTAAAAGACAGGTAACTTTCACAATATACAAAAGTTGTGCACGTGTATTGCCATGCTTCATTTAGTTCCTCCTGCCTCTCAGGTAAATAATATAGAAAGAAAATCTGTTTGCCATTTTTGCACTGGACTATATAGGAATGAAATCTGCCAGGTCAATCAGACTGGGGCCACTGCTGGACTAGATAGGATTATCATTTTAACACAACCTTTCTATCAGCAAAACTCTGCTTACTTCAAAGTAGTGACTCCTGATTTACATCAATGCGAGGTGCTACATATTTCTTTAAAGTCAACAGGAAATTTTGCAACATTTATATTAGTATATGCAACACCAAACTATTTATGATAAGTTTTTTAAATGAGTGAGGAATTAATTTACATTTTTCAAAACTGTGGGTATCAAATCTAGGCACCAAAATTGCCTAGGGATGCTACACACTCAAAATTTGAGTTTGAACATTTTGGCTTTAATCTTTTTGATTATAAAGCCCTCGGTGATTACCACCTAAACAGAAAGAACTCTGAATGAACATTCTTAATGGTATAAAAGGGCATAAAAAACCCATTCAGACATTATTCCATTTTAACTATGTAATTATTTCATTGTAGTTTGTATGGAAGGAGCTGATAGGACACCTATTTGTAATAAATTGGCTTTGACATTTTTTAGCAATTTTTTTCTTTACTAATTTCTTAGTTCACACCATAATTCATTTATAAGGTACCTGTTGGGTAACAGAGGTCAGCCTATGCTGAGCTATGTGCTACTATAGCTACCCTACTATCATATCAGTGCCTGAGCTGATTTGTTTATAGTTTGCTTGGTACTTACACAACACTTGCTGTCATTGCAATGACAGAAGTGGGAACATATCTGTAGTATTACAAGTTCAGTTTCTTAGAATGAGATCAATGTATCAAACTATTAATGGAATAGTTCTTCGAGGATTCAGGGTTTTTGGTGGGGAATGGGGAGAGCAGTTGTACGCAGCCACGATTGTTTCTTCTCTTAGTCTGTCCATATAAAAGGAACTCTTGGACCTGCTGTTACTGCCTGGAAACTGAGAATTTCTGAAAGAGATTTCTATCTGCTGCTTGTGACCTCCAGTGTTAAAGACCTGGTGCATATAATGTAAACAAAGTAATGAAACTAAGGAAACTGAAGCTGGCACTTTTTATGCCTTAGTAGAGTGATGACAGTATCTTCTTCCTTTTAGATTTACTTGGGCAGCTGGGATCTGTTGTGCTGATCTATAACAGGCTCTGCATATGACTTTATATCATATATCATTGATGGGACTATCCTTGCTACATTGGTGAGGGACATCTGATTGATAGTGGTAATGAGCTTTAGGGCTCTGTATGTATGGATTGATGCACATTCAAGTTGTGTGATGTCTGAAAAGTGCAAGCCCTCAACTTCTGATGAACACTACCATATTCTCAGGCCCTGCAGTATGCATGACATCTCTACTGTGTATCTATAGTAACAATATGCTAAGCATTTTTTCAAGAATAGACATGCCACTTGTTTCTGCCTCAGTATTTATTTCTAGTGTCTCAGTTTCCCCATCTGTGAAAAGTGTGCTATCTCATAGCTCAGGGAAAGGTAGGGAGACTTGATCTCTCTGAAAATATGAACACCTTAATTAATTCTGATCTAAAGCATTTGTAAAGTTATCACTACAAGTTTGGCTAGTGGATACGTGAGTCACACCTGCATTCAGACTGTCCAATTACAGTGCAGTACAGCCAAATCTTGCCATAGCATTCCATAGGTCACAATCACAGAATCGTAGAAAATGAGGGTTGGAAGGGACCTTAGGAGGTCATCTAGTCCAACCCCCTGCTCAAAGCAGGACCTTGGGTGCATACACATTTTGGTGGGGGTTTAGGGGGAGGTTAGATCATGTTAAAAGTGGCAGGTG